TATAAAAAAAAAAGAAAAAAAAAGGTGGTTAACAGTTACTTGAATGTGATCRTTTCAGCCCAGAAGGAAGATTTATTGGAGCTTCATAAAAGTAATAGATGATGTCATCAAAAGCAAGCTTGTTTGTTATTTAGCTAGAGGGACGTCGTAAATCAGCAGCTTTATCAYGATACGATATTATATCAGTTTGTTTGGATGATATCACAAAGTCTGTCCTGATTAGGCGGGTGGTGTGAAGGTAATGTGGTATACTCAGTATTCAACGGTTTTTAAAAATTATGACGATATATTAACCCTCTGGAGACTAGTCACAKGACCTATTTAAATCACYAACCAGAAACATACGCCTTCTTTGAGACCCTTTCCATTTGTGTCAAAAGTTCAAACTATACACCAGTGTTTGAACTGGCCAAATAAAATCGGAGTTATGATAAACAGTTCCTGCCACTTTTCTTCTGGACTTGATCATCCTGTTTGATGTGTGTTGCAGTAATCTCATCCTTCTCTAGAGCCGAAACAACATAAACCCCCAGACCTCCTTTCTGATCGAGGTTCAAAGTTATTTGACAAGTACCAAAAAAATCTACAGGAAGAAGAAAATAAAAAGACGCAAAAGGTGAATGAAGTTTGGCGGCTATAGAGATGATGAGAAAGTAACTCATGCTACAGACCATACATCTCCCATGCCCCGCCCCCTTTCCACAACTCTGCGATCTATATGATATCAATGTTTTTATTTTGCCTTGATGTAATTAAATCATATAATCAATATATAAATATGGATCGATGTAYTGTTACAAACCCAAGTCCCAACAATTCCCTGTTCTGGGCCAATTTTTTTTTCTCTCTCTACAAAAATTTCATAAACTTCGTAAGCTGGATGAGGTGGTGACYGCAATTATTTTATGAAGCTAAACGAAGACATAAAGAATAAACTGCACCAGTTTGGCTAGAGAAGGTGGTTAGCAATTTTACATATTCAGCTATTATCACAAACTCCAATCCGAGTCTGTTCGTAACCTTTTTTTTTAAACCTGCAATAAATAAACTTTCATAAAGTATTGAAGCCTTTTTCAAAAAATCCTACCTAAAAGTCTGCTGTTAGCAAAATATCGCCTGAGCGACTTGATGGATTTCACTGGAAACGTCGCAAAAATTGTTACCTTTTCTGATACCATTCTAAGATTTGTTGTGGTGGTAGTTGAGAGTCATCCCCAACATGATTAGACTGCCTGTTGGTGTGAGTGATCTTTGTTTGTTGGAGTCAACCACAGTTTTAAATATGCCTGTGTATTGGCAAGAATTTGGAAGAACACAAGTTACGATAAGCATCAAGATGAATTGCGAAACTGTAAGCAAGGCTAAACTTATATGTGGTAGTAGCTGAGCCTGATCCCAAACACTTTCAGAAAGAAACACGAATAAGAAAACTGAGCAAAAACAAACCAACATGTAAACATTCGATGGTCCAGGCTTGAAAGCAGCAATGATTCATTCACACACCGAAAGCATTCGACCTTTGATGGTGGATGTGATGTAACGCTCGTGATAGATGCGTCGGGCTTTGGCCTTAGGCTGCTCTGTATGTTCTACTCCCCGAAGGCCCGGCAGGTTRAACGGGCCAACGCAGCCCCACCATCAATACACGACCAAGCAGAGCTCTAGATCAACTCAACTGCCAGATTAATCTTCATCTTGTAAAGCAGCTGACAGGCCTTTTATTCAAACAGCAAACAAAACCGCTGCTTAGCTGCATGATAGCAGCGATAACGGGGGTGGGGGGTGGGCGCCGGATGTAAACTTGGCTTCCGTTGCTCCTAATAAGCACGTCTGCGCGCCGTCTTTACCTGAGATTAAAAATTCAAATGCAGCCTGATCAAAGTGGGATTACGGTGCTAAGCCTGTTGGAACAAAAGACGAGGTGGAAGATGAAAAGTGGGAAAAATCGCACACACGCCGTTCTGCAAAGCTTCTTAATGTGATTTAAACATGTTTTTTTTTAAAAAGAGGATGTTTTGGTGACCTCGTTACCATGCCGTGTCAGTTTTAATTTACATCACTCTTATTGTGAAAGCTGCAAAAAGATGGCATCTCATGCACAGTGTGAAACTGAAATGTCTTATAAGGGATTTAGCAAATATTTCTGTAAACATTTTCTTCTTTCCCTTCATTACAAAAAAAATTAGATGCCCTACAGGTGTCCTGTTTGACATGTGTGCCATCGTCACAATATAACTTAGCACAAAAAGTAAGGAAATTTGCTTTTAGAAAAACAGGTCAAAACATGAAAATAAAACTAAAACTRAAGTAWTACAGGCCAACCAGAACTGTGTAAACTGCGGCTCTAAATACGCAGACGTTGATTAGATATGAGGCACAGGTGTGTATATTACAAATCAGGATCAGGTGAGTGGGAGGAAGTAGAAGACAAATTGAGATAAGTTCTCCAAAATAAAACAGGAAGTAGAAAGGATTAAGGTGTAAACCTAAAACACAGCACAAAAAACTTCACGTTTTAAGAGATCATGTTCGCTTTTTGGTCTGTTTTAGTCAAACCTCGAAAATGACGATATGCACTATCCCTCAGACAACCTGTTGAGAATGACTCTCAGCTACTACCACACCAAATTTCAGTTCAATTTTTTTTTTTAGAAAATTGGCTCAGTTGTAACCATTGTTGTGTTTGTGATGATCATCTAGTTCAGAGGTTCTCAAACTGCGAGCTGTGTCTTGGGGGTCCTCAAAAATATTCAATAAACTGTTAAAGTTGGTTTTATTTTTGAAAAATGCATATGGGGAATAATGCACTAGTAAAACAAGCATACTAAACCAAACAAAATAATAATAATTTTACCATGGCATTTAGAGGTTAAAATAACAGAAAATTATTTTCCACTAACAACATGGGATTTATGAGGGGGTCCCTGGAAATTTTTCACCCTTGTATGGGGTCCCAGTCCCAATAAGTTTGAGAACACTTGATCTAGCTCAGTGTTTCCCAAAGTTGGGGTCGGGACCCAAAGTGGGGTCCCGAAACATCAAAGTGGGGTCCTGAAAACATTTTCTGAATTAATTACATTTTTGCCTTGGTTGTTACAAATGAGTGAGGTTAGTGTATTTAAAACGGATAAATGTAGTATAAAAAATATTGTTACTGTGTTTAGTTGACCTGATACAAATGTTTATCATCCAAACATAGCTGGGGGCTCAGGTCTCTACTGTTATTTTGTGGGTCAAAAGTAGAAAAGTTTGGGAACCACTGCACTTTGGTTCCCAAAGTTGGRCTTGGGACCCAATTATGGGTCATGAAGCACCTTGGATAATCTCCAGAAATCAATTTAAAAGGGTAATAAAATAATTGCTGATGTAATATTTTCCCTATAATTATTACAAAAACACAAAATAAGTAATAATAAGTATTTATATGTGTGTACAAGCTGTTTAGACTGTCAAACTCCTGTGTTTTTAGGGTTATAAACGGAGTTCGTGTACTCAGACCAGTAATATTTGGGGTCACAAGTTTTTGCCATGGATATTTTGTGAGTCAGAAGATAAAAAGTTTGGGAACCACTGATCTAGCTGACATTCATCTTGAATCCAATTAACTCCAAAAGTTAATGAGTTGTAAACTTTTGTCTCATAATTACTTACTGCAAGTTTCATTAAAATTTGTGGAGTGGCTTATGAGATATTTTGGTAGCAGGCCTATGCAACAAGCACCAAATAAAAGCCAATTTTCTCCTTGGAATGAAAACAAAGGCACAAATATTCTCTCTCAAGTCAATTTTGGGTGCTAATTTTAGATTTGTAGCACCTTGTTTCCCCCCTAGCAGCTGTAATGAAGTTGTCTCTCCTCCGTCTACCTGTCATAAGATCCCCGAGGCTTTCCCATCTCCGAGTACCCACAGCCCATCTCAATCTGTCACTTCTGACCGGCCCACAGTGACACCAAAGAGCCCAGAAAGTAGGACACACAGAACCCGTGGCGCGTACACACGAGAACAAGAACAAAAAAAAAAGAGACACACAAACATGTCATAAATTGTGCCAAAAAATATTCCTAATTTAGTTAATATCTGCTGTTATCTGTGGACAGTCAGCTTATAAAWGGGACTCTTCAAAGCTCCTGCTCCCTCGTAGCATCTCGGGCTAAAATTGATACTGATTTAATTAGAACTTCTTGCCTGAGATCCACAGAGCCTCGACATCAAAGTGCTGCTCTGAATAACGATGAAGCCCTTCATGCCTCAGGTACAGCCTGAATCTCTGATTGCAATCGGCACATTTTACTGCTATCACGCTGACATAACAAATTTTTGTGTTAAATCTTTATGCTGGAGCTCCAGAAGCCCGGCGCTTACAGCACTCCTAAAGCTAACTGACATTAGCAAACATAAAAATTACTATAACTGTCTGTTTTACAGATACTGAGSTAAGGTTTGACAAAGTAGCAGGGAAAAGTCATTTCCAACACATCGCAAGAGATTGCTTGTTTTTTTTTTATAACCTTTTAGCTACAGTTTTGCTAATTTTGACTAGTTAACTCATTTTTACATCTAGCTAGCTTGTTTACCACTTTTAGCATTTACCTAATGATTTTCACATTTTATTAAATATTTTACTACTTTTAGCTTTTAGACCTTTTTGAATATTTAATTGTAGCTTGTTTTACTATTTAATTTTACCTTGTTTTACTTCTTTTAGCTAGCATGCTGAGCTACTGAGTTTACTGTTTTTCTATTAAAAAGATTTGATCTGGCTTTTAAAAAAAATGAACAAAATGTGTTTCTCTTTTAACGTAACAATGAATGGTTTAAATGGGGGATATTTTGTATTTTAAATCACAGTTGGAAACCCAAGCTAATGATGCTAATAGCTGTTAGCATCAGCTATAACACCAACTAGTATTTTCAAAACTAAAATCAGTCCAATTAAATTTTAATAAGTTAGCAAAATCTGTCAGGTTAAACTTTTTWTACAGATTGTTTTTAGCATCTTACCTTTACTTGTAGCATCTTAAAGCAGAGGTTCATTCAGGTCTGGTTTGGTCAACTTCTGAAACAAAATGGCGGAGAGTTTTTGTGATGTCATGAGTCGTTGGGAAACGCCCACTGGATGGATGATCAGTCTTGACAGGAGACAACAGGAAAATTAACACTTTTCCCCCTTGTTCACCAAATGTTTTGCCTGTCAGGGTAGTGAGGGGGTCATGTGACTGAAAAAAAAGACCATATAAACTTTTTTTTGCCTAAATATTTGGTGAAACTAACCTAACGYAGAACCAAACGGTTTCAGCCCAGAGGATTTTAGTGTTTAGCAGTGGTGGGCACAGCTAAACAAAGTTAGTTTCTAATAATCTACTAACTAAAAATATAGGTTTGCTAATGCTAAACATGTAAAATAAATTTGCGGAAGCTAATTTTAGACAAGTTAAAATTAGGAGAAGCTAAGAGCAGCTGATCTCTACAACGATAGTCAGTCTGTGTCAAATGTCTTTGTCTCCTTTTAAGTAAAGACTGGTGAGACACAAACTAGTTGCTAGTTGTTGTTTTTTTTAGCATATAGTGGACTTAAAGCTGGCAAAACCTAATTTAGTGGAAGCTAATTTGTCTGCTAATGGTTTTCAAAGTTAATGAAAAGCTAATCTGCTAAAAAAAAGTTACCATTATCTGTTAGCTGATTAGCAGAGCCATGCCCACCCCTGGTGTTTAATGTGGGCGATATACATTTCTTTGTATAAAAACTGATTTTCGATCTGCCAAACGTGTTTATGTCCTCGTTTCTTCGGAGGTACGAGGGTTTTTCAGAGGCAGAGCTGAGTGATTCTCTCAGACAGTCGAGGTTCAAAGCGTCTGTCTGCAGAGGGAAAAGAGTCTAATTTTAACTCGGAGACAGAGGGGCTCGTGAAACCGCTCTCTGCCTGACTACAGCTCAATTATTCATCAAGTCTCTCAGCTCGAAAGCTCGACACGTTACTCACGCACACACCATCCTCTTTCACATGCTGTTTCATTCAGACACAAAGTCAGCCATCTTCAAAAAAGCACATCCTCGTATTAAGCCAAACAGTGATTCTGAGTGGAGATGAGTGGAAAAAAATCACACAAATAGACTTTTAGGGGCTCGAAATACAAACAAAACAGTTTATTAATGAGAACTTTTATTGAGAAATTATAAATAAAACACAAGTACAATGATATCAAACCAAATTAACTATAAATATGAGCAAGTGTTTGTTTTTAACCCGGCTAGTGTTAAAGATCAACTTAAAGTTTGGGGTAGTAGTAGCCGAGAGTCATCGCTACAAAAACTCAACATTTTTGTTAACAGAGCATCATTTATTGTGGTTGAGGGTTGAGATAAAGTTAAAAAGCTTCGTAGGTTTCCCCTCCGTGACAGCTCGAAGCTAATTGTTTTCTCAGCTCGTCAGAAAACAAACACAGAGTTCAGAACTTGGACCGGCCGCCTGCTGATGACTCAGGTTTTGTTTTGAAGGAGCTGCGGGAGGCGTCATCTCCAACAGATGACCGGTCCTCGTGARGAACCGAGCTGTGGCCGGTCGTCTTTGACTTGTCGAAATTACTCACTCCGAAACTTTCTGTAAACAGTTATTTGCCCGACTCGATGACAGGAAGCAAACATAAAACTGCTGGACTCTAAACGGTACCGGGTGGCTCTTGGGTTTGCAGAGGGACCTCGGGGAATCTGTGAGAGGATTTGTTGCCTGCTGGGATAACGACGCCCCTTTAAGACCCACCCAGACAACCTCACAAGCTGATGCTGAGGTTGTTTTTTTTTTGTGTGTGTGTGTTGACTAGAGACCGTGTGGTAAACACAGATAAACAGATCTGCCTGTCTGATGGACGGCGTGAAAATACAGTAACTTTCATTTTAAGAGCCAACGTCAAACCCGCTGAGAGCTAAAGAGGATTAGCGTCTCTCTCTCTCTCTCTCTCTCCCCCTTTTTCTCGCCACGCCGGGAACATTTTATTTTTGTCGCAGCGACAGACAACAGAGGAGAAAACACGACGCACCCTCAAACATTTTCCCCACAAAAAAAAAAATAAATAAAAAACAGTCTCCTCTGCCAGAAAATGCAACACTCCTAAATTTTCCGGTGTGCTTTGAATCAATATGGACGTCCCGGCTGAATTTAGCCGGCGCTCAATCTGTCTGTGACAWGCAGCGGRTGCTGTACATCATTTAGAGAGGGARATAGTGCGAGCTAAAGACAGTCAGGTGTGGTGCTGTTTGGAGATAAGGCTGTAGAAGCTAACTATAGCATCTGTCTGTAGACTAAAATAAAAAGAGGTGTGATTGGTGAGGCTTGGGTACACAGAGATGGAAGTGATGTCTTATCCTTTGTGGAAACATCAGCTGTAGGCAGAAGGTACAAAGCTAAAAAAAATCACATCTGTTCAGCCATTTTCTGACAAATAGTGATTATCAGAGCTGATCACAGGTGAACAGTTTGGTGTAGTGAGACTGACTGGATTAGGATTTTTCAATTTATAGGCTGGCTTTGTATATTTAGCTAGYCWTTTGCTACTTTTAGAGTTTAGCTCGTATTTTGATTCTTGTAGCTGCRTCTGTCATCTTTTAGTTAGATTTTTGTCACTGTTGGCTTTAAGCTAACCTTTAAAGATACTTTTTAAATTTTAGCTGTTTTAATTTTTGTGCAACTATTATCTTTTACAAGTGTAAAAGTACAAGTGTACTCTTTTTGGCTTCTATCTAGTGTTTTGCTTTTTTAGTTTTAAGCTAAAGTTTTGCTCATTTTGCTTTGAGCTTGTGTAGTTTACCTTTTATCAAGTTTGTTGCTCCTTTTAGCTTCTAGCTAATATTCTGCTTCTTTAAGTTTAGGGATAATGATTTTTCATTTTATAGCTTCTAGCTAGTGTTCTGCTAWCTTTTATACCCTTTAGCTTTTAGTTAGTGTTCTGMTTCTTTTAGCTTTAAGCTAATGTTTTCCTCCTTTTATAGCTTCTAGCTAGTGTTCTGCTTGTATATTGTTTATCTAGTGTTTTGCTTATTGTATTTGTTAGCTAATATTTTGCTCATTTTAGCCCGTAGCTAGTGATCTGTTATATTTTTAGCTTTAGGCTAATATTTTGCTCATGCAGCTTTTGCTAGTGTTTTGATTCTTTTAGCTTTAAACTATTGTTTCCCTCCATTTATAGCTTCAAGCTAGTKTTCTGTTCTTTTAGCTTTCAGCTGTTTTGCTTCTTTTATAGCTTCTAGCTAGTGTTCTGCTTGTATATTGTTTATCTAGTGTTTTGCTTATTGTATTTGTTAGCTAATRTTTTGCTCRTTTTAGCCYGTAGCTAGTGATCTGTTATATTTTTAGCTTTAAGCTAACATTTTGCTTCTTTAATCTGGTTATTGTTGATTCTTTCAGCTGTAATAACTCAGTTTCAGCTTCCTTCACAGTAAATATGCAGAAAATAAAGCTATTTTTTTATTCCTCTTGTGTGCAGCTACCTCCAGAAAAACAACAACAAATAAGTCATCCTCATCTGAAATCGTACAAATGACAAAATCCCTCCACCGTGTTACCCAGGGGCCAAACCGAGTATTAAACTGTTCACACAGCAGCTTTCACAACATTACCACCACACGGTGCAAAGACGGGACATCAGTGGTGTGAATGCACTTTACAAATCCACCCTGACAAAGCAAAATCAGCCGGAACTTCTTTGGCAGATAAGCGTAACCTTTTTCACACCACAAAGCGTAGCGTCACACAGTGTTGAATTAGTGATAAAAATGYGGAACTGTTAACATTTAACATGATCAACCAGGATGTGGTGACGGGACTAGCCCCCTGTTTTCTCTCGCTGCGGGAAGATGGCGTCACGGTGGTAAAGGGACGGACCTCAGGACACTTCAACGTCTCCTGGCTGCGTTAAAGTAAACATCACAACCCTGCTTCTCTCGGCTCTGAACCCTTATCAACCACAGACTGAGCCAATCAGAGCCACCTCCATCTCTGGTCCTGATAAGAAAATGTCATCTCAGAGGTTTTTAAACCATTCAGCCTTGCAGATATTAATGTTTTATGTTCATTCAAAAATTTAAACCAGCACAAGTTTGATTTCCCTGTGTGTACTTGTAGTTTGACTTCTCTGTGTGTACTCGTAGTTTGACTTCCCTGTGTGTACTTGTAGTTTGACTTCCCTGTGTGTACTTGTAGTTTGACTTCCCTGTGTGTACTCGTAGTTTGACTTCTCTGCGTGTACTCGTAGTTTGACTTCCCTGNACTTGTAGTTTGACTTCCCTGTGTGTACTCGTAGTTTGACTTCTCTGCGTGTACTCGTAGTTTGACTTCCCTGTGTGTACTTGTAGTTTGACTTCTCTGTGTGTACTTGTAGTTTGACTTCTCTGTGTGTACTCGTAGTTTGACTTCCCTGTGTGTACTCGTAGTTTGACTTCCCTGTGTGTACTCGTAGTTTGGGGGAAGAAAAAAGAAAGAAAAGTTCTGTGAAGATGAACACACGTCTTGGCAAATTAAATGTTTGGCTGCAGGCGACGAAGGCAAGAAACTTTTTTCTTCTCTTTTTGCTGGGTGAAAATAAGCAAACCCCAAAGACACGGCGTTAATTATTCACCCTTCCTGCACCAGTCTGACATTCTGATTATGACCGGAGGTGCTTACAGGGTGTCGGGTCGGGTTGACGGGGGGTTTTAAACTCTAATATGCTTGCTGCCAAGAAAACTCGGGCTTGTCTGATGCGTAAGCCGCCCTGCGGGGCATTAAAATGAGCGGTAATAACCCATACGGTTAAAAAAAAAGCAGCTTGGAAGAGAACAAAAAAAGAAAACAAACAAGGAAAATACCAGGGTAGCGTTTCGCAATTGACATTGATGGCTATTTTGTTTCTCTGCCTAAAATAAGCAGAGCCGGTTTTCGATATTAGGTAAGAGTGGAAACAGGTATCAGCTGACAGAATGATTCTGTGAAAGTTGAAAAGAAGGGTGTTGGCTTGTTATTTATTTGATTACAGGTGAGTCTTTGCCAAAGAAAGAAACTTGAAACTCTCTAGGGTTGAACTTGG